AAATCTAGTTTAAATTTGCAAAATTTTCGGGGGCTTCGCCCCCAAAAGTAACCTAGGATTATCTATTAAAAAGCATTCCGGGCACTAAAAAAGTAAAATTGAGAATCTGGAATCCGCCATGAAAAATCTTTGAACCGCGCGAATACAAAGACTTTTTATGCGAGCGAAGCGAGTGGGCCACAGAAAACGAAAAAATTGAGAATGTAGGAAATTAAAAATTTTTTTGGATATGGGGGAATGATCCCAGAACCTCGACATTTCGCGTATCTTGCTCTACCAATTGAGCTACTGACCCTGATTCTCAGAGCGAAATCACCACTCATATACAGCACAATTTCATGCTTTGTGTGGAATATCATTTATCAGTTATTTAGAATATAAATTCGCATGTATCATGCGAATATATATTCTAAATAACTATATATAATATATAATATATAAAAATATATAAATATATATTCTAAATAACTGATAAATGATATTCCACACAAAGCATGAAATTGTGCTGTATATGAGTGGTGATTTCGCTCTGAGAATCAGGGTCAGTAGCTCAATTGGTAGAGCAAGATACGCGAAATGTCGAGGTTCTGGGATCATTCCCTAGTTGTCCCTAGTTTTTCAGAGTTAATCATCACCTATAGACAGCATGAGAGTAGGCCTGGCCATCTCGAAGTGATAATAATAATTAAATGTTTCGCAGATTGGCAATTGATCGGTGTAGTTGGTGTTGTACACACTGCACTGATAATGATATCACGTTGAACGTGTAATGTAAATATAGTGTGGATACATGCGAATATATATTCTAAATAACTGATTTATATAGATCAGTTGAACTCATAACACTCTAACCGTGTACAAACACTTGAGGGTACCTCAGAAACTTGAGGCGACCTCAATTCAGTTTACTACACTTCACTTCTCTTCTTTTACTTATTGTTGGAGAGATGGTTTCTTTACATCTATGAAGTCTGCCATTAGACGCTATTTTTCGAAAAGGAGCAAGACAGAGAATGCTGTACAGACGGATAGAGTGACCTTGGCAGACCGGGAGACTCAAACATCAAGAAATTCCACCTGTTCAGAAAACTCCACTTTGGTTGAATCAATAAAGTCAAGTACACAGTATTTTACTGCGAAAGAAGATGAGGATTATTTGAATATTGGAACAGTTGGTGCTGCCATTGACCAGTCAGGACTGGGGTTTGGAACACTGCTGTTCGTGTTGTCCCCTTGTTTGTTCATCATCTTTGAAGGAGTTGAACTCGCCATACAATCAGTTGTGAGTAATATAGTCACGTGCCACTGGGAGCTGGACCAACATCAGCTGTTCCTCATTGAGTTCGGGGTTGTTTTAGGACTATTCTGCGGTTCCACTGTCTGTTCACCTTTAAGTGACAAGTATGGGAGACGGAAAGTGATAATGGCCATGGTGTCAGGATTGCTGGTGTCCGGGATACTCACAGGATTCTCCACAGGATTCCCAATGTACCTTATCCTCCAGATGACGACAGGGTTCTTCATAGGGGGAGGTATGGCACCAGTTATAGCGTTGTTAGTAGAAGTGGTCCCCAGTCGCTGGAAGGTTTCAGTACTGGCACTTAGAGCAGCAGTAAGAGCATCAGGGATAGCGTTCGCGGTGCTGATGTCCTGGCTGCTGAATGAGAGTATGGGGTGGAGAGCTATCATCCTGGCTGTTAATGTGGTTCACGTTCCTGCTCTGTTGTTCTTATGTTTGAGTGATGATAACCCACGATATAGCATCGCTGCGGGGAAGAAGAAGGAAGCAAGGAGGGCACTGGAACAAATACAATCGTTGAACGAATGCAAATGTTGTTCTTCCTGTTGTGTTTCCTGTTGCGGTGATGGAAAAGAAGAAGAGGAAAAAGAAGCCGGTAAAAGTGATTCCACAGGAATAGCCCCAGAGCCGGCTATAACTGGAGAGGGAACGACAGAGAGGAGAGGGACGAGAGATTCACCTAATCCGGACTACAACTTGGTGCCCATGACCCAGGACGAGGAAAATACGGGCAATAACCCTCACGGTTCAATTGGATGCGCTTGCAGGCTGTCCGGTTACAACCTCCCAATAGCGGATATGATGCTTCTAGCTACGTACGGGTTTGTCGTTCAAGCTTTGTACTACGGATATACCTTCTATGAATCAAGCTTGTTAGAAGATGAATACTGTATCCGGCCCCATGGATTTTTAGTACCCACGCAACCCTGCATAGTGGATTCCGACAAACTATTTCACCAAGCCATGACAACGCTGATCAGCCCAGTTGGAGCCATCCTGGCTGCTGTCTCCGCTATATGGATAGGACGGAAAGAGACTGGCTATATAATCGCATTCCTGCTCATATCCTTCAACTTCTACTTTTACAACTGCCCCAGTTCCACGCCCACTTCTAAGATGGCTTTCCAATGCATTATAACGTTTGTGGGGATATTAAAGTGTGGAGCTGACCTCCTCCCATATCTGGTTGCTACTGAGTACTTCCCTACTGCCATCAGGGGACTGGGTCTGTCAGCCTGTATCACGGGCTCCAAGTTTGGAGCAGCTGTTAGTATTATTGTGTGTCAGTATGGGTATAATAATCACCCTTTCTGGGTGGCGGGGTATTTGCACGTGTTGAGTGTGCTGATGTTGGTTGTGGTGTTTGTTTCCAGGGAGACCAAAGGATATGTAAGTCGCACTACCAAGTAACGCCATAAAACTTTCACGTGACGTCATCACACTATCACGTGATGGTGTGATGACATCACGTGAGGTGCTAATTTTGGTTTTGGTGTTTGTTTCCAAGGGAAACCAAAGGGTTTTTAAGTCGCCTTAATTTGTGAAATTGTTCTTGATATTGCCAAATATCAAGAATGGGTCTGAACGGAAAGATTGAACTGGAAATATTATTATGCGCACTTCTTTAGGTACTAAACCAAGGAACCTTTTGTTATATATTCTTATCTAGAGTTGATACGATTTGTAGGCTGATGAAGTTGTATTATCTATTCATTTTGGCTGGGTGGCTCAGTTGGTAAATCTTCCTGCGAGGTAACAGGTTCGATTCCCAGCTGAGCTACCAGCCATGGGGTGAGCGTCGTTGACGCTCAGCTAAGGATTCCGAGTGGTCTATGCCGCCGGTCCAATTAGCTAAATACTCGAAAAACCGGGTGTGAGGGTTAAATGAGGAGCTGCCCATTGCAGTGAAGTCTCGGGTGAAGGAAGTATGGTACACACTACCATACCGTCAATGGCCAATTAATGTATAATTGAATCCTTCGGCTTCCTGTAATTGGCTGGTTAACCTTGTAAAACGATTTGGCTGTTGGAATGTCCGAAGTAAAATAAGTGTTAGATAAGTTTTTAGATACATTGTTAGTAGTGTAAATTCTGATTTTTAATTTGTCTCAAAATTGTTTAGGCGCAAAGTTACAGTACCTTACTCGGGAATATTATAGCGGGTTAATTTATGACTGGGAAAATTAATGACCGGGAAAAATATGGCGGAATTTCCAAAACCAACCAAGCATCAAAATGTATTACTATAAGTTTACCTTACTCGGGAATCTTATAGCGGGTTAATTTATGACTTGGAAAATTAATGACCGGGGAAAATATGGCGGAATTTTCCAAAACCCACCACTTTATCCCAGTCATAATATTCCCGAGTAAGGTAGTTGTGTAAGGCCTTGGCTTAAAAGGCCAAAGTAAAGCCTTTGGCCTGGCAGAACTGTAAACTTTTCTAAACACTAAATAAGTTAACTTCATACAAATATTTGTTCATAAAATCTGAACTGTTTAAAAAACTAAAAAAGTCCATAATCTTGGTATTTCAACACTAAGTCTCGCTTGAATGACTTAAATGTACATCTTTGTTGGGTATTTTTATTGTCGAAGCGTGCAATAAATGTTAGAATTTATTTATTTATTTATTAAGTTCTAATTTAACATTGTAGAAAACTAAATTGTAACTTGTCTTAATTTCTAATAAGTTCTAATTTCGGATTACATAAAGCTAAATTGTAACTACCTTACTCGGGATTATTATAACCGGGATAAAGTGGTGGGTTTTGGAAGATTCCGCCATATTTGTCCCGGTCAAAAATTTTACCAGTCATAAAAAAACCCGCCGACTCAGATTATGGGGTTCCAAGGGGGTGGTGATCATCATATTTTACCTGAAGTCTCATATGTGCTAGAGAAGACTTTTGAAGCAGAGGATGGAGGGCTGTAACTTTATTGGCTGTTGCTACCATAATTTCGTTATAAAAATCACAATTTGGTTATAGAAATCAGATTTCAGGGTGGACCGTGATTCTCACTTTTCTTGCCCATGAAGTGAGTAAACTGTGCCACTATTTCGTGGTCCACGGTGAATTGATTACTGGAGCAGTTGAAGATGCAAAGCCAAGACGTTTCCCAATACCAAGCGGTGGGCAGGAAATTAAGCTCCGGCTGACCTTCAGAGCAGTAGCCCCATTAGCGGACAAAATGAAAGTCTTGTTAAGACAACAATACAACTTCGAATTTGACGGTCAGCAGCAGGGGGATATCAATAATGATAATGGAGGGGACATTAGCGATAATGAGAATGAGAATACGCTTTAATGAAGATTTGACTTATTATTGCTATAGATTTATTTTCCTTTAAATACTAGAGACGTGTCTTTTTTTCTATTTCTGAGTAATATCAGTAACTGTAAATTGAAATAACTTCTTTAACAAGTAACAAAAACAGAAATTTCGGTTGAAAATTTGTTGACCTCTGAAAAAAAACTTGAAAGGTCGGCCACCGGTAAATACATGACCGGGATAATTTGGCGGGTTTTGGGAAAGTCCGCCATATTTTTCCCGGTTATTAATTTTCCCAGTCATAAATTAACCCGCTATAATATTCCCGAGTAAGGTAATTACAAATAAGTCCTAATTTCTAATAAGTTCAAATTTTAGGTTGAAGAAAACTAAATTTTAACTTATTTCTAATAAGTTATAATTTCAGATTGCTACTGCTCCCTGGCTGGATTATGTTAAACTTGTTAAGGACTCTGAAAAGTCTCGCAATTTTCAGTTTGATGGCAGACTTCGCTACTCTCTTCGCTTACGTGGTGGTCTTTTGGTTCGACTTCGAACATTTCGATAATATCGAGTGAGTACTTCGGTTTTTTATAAGAATTATAACAGATTGTTATTAATATTATCTATTAATAGTATTAAACTGATCATCTTATTATCAGTTTAAAACAACCTGCCTTACAAATGAACTACTTAACTTATTAGCTAGCTAGCATAATATTATGCTAAACTTTACAACCCTTTACCCCAGGAAAGGATTACGAAAATAATATACTATTAACTTATCATCCAATAATTTAATTAAGCAAATTATACAATTAATTAATTGTAACTAAGTTAAACCCCAGGAAAGGACTACGAGAAGAGTCGCTAGTAAACCTACCTTTCTTTCTGGGTATAAGCATGTACTGTTTTGAAGGAGCAGGAATGATTTTAGCTTTAGAAACTTCAGTAGCTCAGAACCTGCGGAAGAGCTTTAAAAAAATATTCGCTAAAGCGTGAGTTTTTATTTAATTATTTATGACCATGGTGTAAGGTGTTGTTACTATGGTAACATTACTTTATAATATGCTTATAATCTGTATCTCAAACTATTAGTAATAGCAAAGAGTGAGTTTTTATCTAAAGGGTGCGGTAATCTCTGTCACATGACCTTGAATCAGACTGTCACATGACGTCATCGCACTTTCACATGGCACTGTCACGTGACGTCATCACACTGTCACGTGATGTAACCACACTGTCACGTGATGTAACCACACTGTCACGTGATGTAACCACACTGTCACATGATGTAACCACACTGTCACGTGACGTCATCACACTGTCACGTGATGTAACCACACTGTCACGTGACGTCATCACACTGTCACGTGATGTAACCACACTGTCACGTGATGTAACCACACTGTCACGTGATGTAACCACACTGTCACATGATGTAACCACACTGTCACATGACGTAACCACACTGTCACGTGACGTAACCACACTGTCACGTGACATAACACTGTATTCCTCTGCAGGCTAACACTGCTGGTGATCCTGTACATAACATTTGGTGTCTGCGGTTACATGTCCTTTGGTCACACTACCATGCAGATTATCACACTTAATCTCCCTGATGGGATTGTTCCTAATATTGTCAGACTTTGTCTGTCTTTCAGTCTCTTCTTCACTTATCCAAGTATTACAATTATTGAATAAATTTATATAATATGATGTGATATAATATGTTATTTTTGGTACCACCTTTTGAAGCACTATAAAACTAAAAATTTATTCGTTTCTGTATAAAACTCTAATTGAGTACAGGAAAATAATGTACGGTAAAATGTTTTGAAATCGCTACGGTAAAATAAACTGAAAGTACGATGTATGCATTATAATTCAATGTAATATGAATCATGATAAGTAAGTAAAACCTCTTTTTCAGTAATGATGTTTCCAGTGGTAAAACTGTTAGATAAAAAGTTTAGAAGCACTGACAATCTCCACAAATCTGTAAGTTTTTTACACTAAAGTAATGATCTAGTTACAATGCACTGTGTGATGACGTCACGTGACAGTCGTTATTGTTATTTATTATGTCCGATATTAATTAATCATAGCACGAAATATACAGATTAAAAACAATTTCTTTACTGCTAAGTCTAGGTAATAAACACAAATCTAATCAATTCTCATTAAGCAGAAAATCAACTCATTTTAACTTTATTTGAACTTTTTCAGAATATGATGAGACTCTCCCTAGTACTGACTACCTACTTTTTCAGAACATGATGAGAGTCTCCCTAGTACTGACTACCTACTTTTTCAGAACATGATGAGAGTCTCCCTAGTACTGACTACCTAATTTTTCATAACATGATGAGAGTCTCCCTAGTACTGACTACCTACTTTTTCAGAACATGATGAGAGTCTCCCTAGTACTGACTACCTACTTTTTCAGAACATGATGAGAGTCTCCCTAGTACTGACTACCTACTTTTTCAGAACATGATGAGAGTCTCCCTAGTGCTGACTACCTACTTTTTCAGAATATGATGAGAGTGTCCCTAGTACTGACTACCTACTTTTTCAGAACATGATGAGAGTATCCCTAGTACTGACTACCTACTTTTTCAGAACATGATGAGAGTCTCCCTAGTACTGACTACCTACTTTTTCAGAACATGATGAGAGTCTCCCTAGTACTGACTACCTACTTTTTCAGAACATGATGAGAGTCTCCCTAGTACTGACTACCTACTTTTTCAGAACATGATGAGAGTCTCCCTAGTACTGACTACCTACTTTTTCAGAACATGATGAGAGTCTCCCTAGTACTGACTACCTACTTTTTCAGAACATGATGAGAGTCTCCCTAGTACTGACTACCTACTTTTTCAGAACATGATGAGAGTCTCCCTAGTACTGACTACCTACTTTTTCAGAACATGATGAGAGTCTCCCTAGTACTGATTACCTACTTTTTCAGAACATGATGAGAGTCTCCCTAGTACTGACTACCTACTTTTTCAGAACATGATGAGACTCTCCCTAGTACTGACTACCTACTTTTTCAGAACATGATGAGAGTCTCCCTAGTACTGACTACCTACTTTTTCAGAACATGATGAGAGTCTCCCTAGTACTGACTACCTACTTTTTCAGAACATGATGAGAGTCTCCTTAGTACTGACTACCTACTTTTTCAGAACATGATGAGAGTCTCCCTAGTACTGACTACCTACTTTTTCAGAACATGATGAGAGTCTCCCTAGTACTGACTACCTACTTTTTCAGAACATGATGAGAGTCTCCCTAGTACTGACTACCTACTTTTTCAGAACATGATGAGAGTCTCCTTAGTACTGACTACCTACTTTTTCAGAACATGATGAGAGTCTCCCTAGTACTGACTACCTACTTTTTCAGAACATGATGAGAGTCTCCCTAGTACTGACTACCTACTTTTTCAGAACATGATGAGAGTCTCCCTAGTACTGACTACCTACTTTTGCAGAACATGATGAGAGTCTCCCTAGTACTGACTACCTACTTTTTCAGAACATGATGAGAGTCTCCCTAGTACTGACTACCTACTTTTTCAGAACATGATGAGAGTCTCCCTAGTACTGACTACCTACTTTTTCAGAACATGATGAGAGTCTCCCTAGTACTGACTACCTACTTTTTCAGAATATGATGAGAGTATCCCTAGTACTGACTACCTACTTTTTCAGAACATGATGAGAGTCTCCCTAGTACTGACTACCTACTTTTTCAGAATATGATGAGAGTGTCCCTAGTGCTGACTATCTACTTTTTCAGAACATGATGAGAGTCTCCCTAGTACTGACTACCTACTTTTTTCAGAATATGATGAGAGTCTCACTAGTACTGATTACCTACTTTTTCAGAACATGATGAGAGTATCCCTAGTACTGACTACCTACTTTTTCAGAACATGATGAGAGTCTCCCTAGTACTGACTACCTACTTTTTCAGAACATGATGAGAGTCTCCCTAGTACTGATTACCTACTTTTTCAGAATATGATGACAGTCTCCCTAGTACTGACTACCTACTTTTTCAGAACATGATGAGACTCTCCCTAGTGCTGACTACCTACTTTTTCAGAACATGATGAGAGTCTCCCTAGTACTGACTACCTACTTTTTCAGAACATGATGAGAGTCTCCCTAGTACTGATTACCTACTTTTTCAGAACATGATGAGAGTATCCCTAGTACTGACTACCTACTTTTTCAGAACATGATGAGAGTCTCCCTAGTACGTACTACCTACTTTTTCAGAATATGATGAGAGTGTCCCTAGTACTGACTACCTACTTTTTCAGAATATGATGAGAGTGTCCCTAGTACTGACTACCTACTTTTTCAGAACATGATGAGAGTCTCCCTAGTACTGACTACCTACTTTTTCAGAATATGATGAGAGTGTCCCTAGTACTGACTACCTACTTTTTCAGAATATGATGAGAGTGTCCCTAGTACTGACTACCTACTTTTTCAGAACATGATGAGAGTATCCCTAGTACTGACTACCTACTTTTTCAGAATATGATGAGAGTCTCCCTAGTACTGACTACCTACTTTTTCAGAACATGATGAGAGTATCCCTAGTACTGACTACCTACTTTTTCAGAATATGATGAGAGTCTCCCTAGTACTGACTACCTACTTTTTCAGAACATGATGAGAGTCTCCCTAGTACTGACTACCTACTTTTTCAGAACATGATGAGACTCTCCCTAGTACTGACTACCTAATTTTTCAGAACATGATGAGAGTCTCCCTAGTACTGACTACCTACTTTTTCAGAACATGATGAGAGTCTCCCTAGTACTGACTACCTACTTTTTCAGAACATGATGAGACTCTCCCTAGTACTGACTACCTACTTTTTCAGAACATGATGAGAGTCTCCCTAGTACTGACTACCTACTTTTTCAGAACATGATGAGAGTCTCCCTAGTACTGACTACCTACTTTTTCAGAACATGATGAGACTCTCCCTAGTACTGACTACCTACTTTTTCAGAACATGATGAGAGTCTCCCTAGTGCTGACTACCTACTTTTTCAGAACATGATGAGAGTCTCCCTAGTACTGACTACCTACTTTTTCAGAACATGATGAGAGTCTCCCTAGTACTGACTACCTACTTTTTCAGAACATGATGAGAGTATCCCTAGTACTGACTACCTACTTTTTCAGAACATGATGAGAGTCTCCCTAGTGCTGACTACCTACTTTTTCAGAACATGATGAGACTCTCCCTAGTACTGACTACCTACTTTTTCAGAACATGATGAGAGTCTCCCTAGTACTGACTACCTACTTTTTCAGAACATGATGAGAGTCTCCCTAGTACTGACTACCTACTTTTTCAGAACATGATGAGAGTCTCCCTAGTACTGACTACCTACTTTTTCAGAACATGATGAGAGTCTCCCTAGTACTGACTACCTACTTTTTCAGAACATGATGAGAGTCTCCCTAGTACTGACTACCTACTTTTTCAGAACATGATGAGACTCTCCCTAGTACTGACTACCTACTTTTTCAGAATATGATGACAGTCTCCCTAGTACTGACTACCTACTTTTTCAGAACATGATGAGAGTCTCCCTAGTACTGACTACCTACTTTTTCAGAACATGATGAGAGTCTCCCTAGTACTGACTACCTACTTTTTCAGAATATGACGAGAGTCTCCCTAGTACTGACTACCTACTTTTTCAGAACATGATGAGAGTCTCCCTAGTACTGACTACCTACTTTTTCAGAACATGATGAGAGTCTCCCTAGTACTGACTACCTACTTTTTCAGAACATGATGAGAGTCTCCCTAGTACTGACTACCTACTTTTTCAGAACATGATGAGAGTCTCCCTAGTACTGACTACCTACTTTTTCAGAACATGATGAGAGTCTCCCTAGTGCTGACTACCTACTTTTTCAGAACATGATGAGAGTCTCCCTAGTACTGACTACCTACTTTTTCAGAACATGATGAGAGTCTCCCTAGTACTGACTACCTACTTTTTCAGAACATGATGAGAGTCTCCCTAGTACTGACTACCTACTTTTTCAGAACATGATGAGAGTCTCCCTAGTACTGACTACCTACTTTTTCAGAACATGATGAGACTCTCCCTAGTACTGACTACCTACTTTTTCAGAATATGATGACAGTCTCCCTAGTACTGACTACCTACTTTTTCAGAACATGATGGAAGTGAGATATGGAACACGACTCAAGTGCAGACAAGAAGATTAGAGTCTTTCCATCAGTACTGCTTACGCAGAATCCTGAGAGTGAGGTGGTTCCATCGAGTAAGAAATGAAGATGTTTTAAGAAGGGCTTCAATAACTGCTCTTACTGACATAATAGCAACAAAACGGCTACGTTGGTTTGGACATGTCAGTAGAATGCCTGAAGATCGGTTACCTAACTATCTACTTGAATGGAAACCCAAACATGGGAAACGATCAAGAGGCAGGCCTAGGAAGAGCTTAAATGATGTATTTATTGAAGATGCTGAGCAGAGATTGGATCGTAATGGACTCACGATTGATTGTATGAGAAGATTGGCTGCAGATCGAAAAGGATGGAGAAATATTACCCGCCGAAGTTGTATAATACAAAGTAATGACGCAGATGACGCAGACTAATCCTTTTGGATGGAGATCTCGCCATGTAACATGTATGTATGATGAGAGTCTCCCTAGTACTGACTACCTACTTTTTCAGAACATGATGAGAGTCTCCCTAGTACTGACTACCTACTTTTTCAGAATATGACGAGAGTCTCCCTAGTACTGACTACCTACTTTTTCAGAACATGATGAGAGTCTCCCTAGTACTGACTACCTACTTTTTCAGAACATGATGAGAGTCTCCCTAGTACTGACTACCTACTTTTTCAGAACATGATGAGAGTCTCCCTAGTACTGACAACCTACTTTTTCAGAACATGATGAGAGTCTCCCTAGTACTGACTACCTACTTTTTCAGAACATGATGAGAGTCTCCCTAGTACTGACTACCTACTTTTTCAGAACATGATGAGAGTCTCCCTAGTACTGACTACCTACTTTTTCAGAACATGATGAGAGTCTCCCTAGTACTGACTACCTACTTTTTCAGAACATGATGAGAGTCTCCCTAGTACTGACTACCTACTTTTTCAGAACATGATGAGAGTCTCCCTAGTACTGACTACCTACTTTTTCAGAACATGATGAGAGTCTCCCTAGTACTGACTACCTACTTTTTCAGAACATGATGAGAGTCTCCCTAGTACTGACTACCTACTTTTTCAGAACATGATGAGAGTCTCCCTAGTACTGACTACCTACTTTTTCAGAACATGATGAGAGTCTCCCTAGTACTGACTACTTACTTTTTCAGAACATGATGAGAGTCTCCCTAGTACTGACTACCTACTTTTTCAGAACATGATGAGAGTCTCCCTAGTACTGACTACCTACTTTTTCAGAACATGATGAGAGTCTCCCTAGTACTGACTACCTACTTTTTCAGAACATGATGAGACTCTCCCTAGTACTGACTACCTACTTTTTCAGAACATGATGAGAGTCTCCCTAGTACTGACTACCTACTTTTTCAGAACATGATGAGAGTCTCCCTAGTACTGACTACCTACTTTTTCAGAACATGATGAGAGTCTCCCTAGTACTGACTACCTACTTTTTCAGAACATGATGAGAGTCTCCCTAGTACTGACTACCTACTTTTTCAGAACATGATGAGAGTCTCCCTAGTACTGACTACCTACTTTTTCAGAACATGATGAGAGTCTCCCTAGTACTGACTACCTACTTTTTCAGAACATGATGAGAGTCGCCCTAGTACTGACTACCTACTTTTTCAGAACATGATGAGAGTCTCCCTGGTACTGACTACCTACGTGGTAATAGCGATAGTCCCCAACTTCTCCATACTGATGGCGTTTGTGGGTGCTACTTGCTGTACCCTACTGGGTTTCATACTTCCTGCTCTCTTCCACCTCAAGATATTCAAAGAGTAAGTCATTAGTTATTAGAGTGAGCTGTTATTTGTTATTTAAGAAAAAATGTATTAGTTTTATAGTAATCAATTGTGATTCGCTCAAGAGAGCGAAAAACGAAACATAATATTATTGTATCTTAAAATAAGGTTCAGTTTACCAGTGCTTTATAATTAATTATATGTTATAAATAATTATAAAGCACTGGTCAACTGAACCTTATTTTAAAACATATGTACAAACTGAAGAATATTGACAAATTAATTAGTTATTAATAATTAATTAATTCTTTTAACAGGTCCCTAACTCAAAAAGAAAAGATTTGGGATATTATAATATTAACTATCGGAATTATAGGGTGAGCAAAAGTATATTTTATCAGTATGAAAGTATGAAAAATATTATACCGCCAGAATTTTTTCCTGATCCCACATATTGATCACGGAATTAACACTATTTAACTCACGTTGAAGTGAGTGACACAATTAACAAAGCAATTTAATATTTGATTACCCAGTTATTTGATTTATCACACTTACTGCAGGGGTATCGTCTGCACGCTAGACGCGTTACAGCGTATGTTTGCTGGAGAAATAGTTGTTGAAGACCCTTCAAGCACGCAAGGATTTTAGGCACGTGACGTCATCACACTGTCACGTGACGTCATCACACTGTCACGTGACGTCATCACACTGCCACGTGACGTCATCACACTGCCACGTGATTTCATCACACTGCCACGTGATGTCATCACACTGCCACGTGACGTCATCACACTGTCACGTTCCGCAAAAGTTTTCAACATTTTCCCGAACTGCAGATAATTAGTTTGACAATGGTTCATTTGTTCTTTTTTGGCAATTTTTACCAAAGAATCCAATGTTTAAAAGATATTCTAGAGCTGTTATTAATAGAGAATGTGTAGTAACCTTCCTTAAAAAGTTTGTCTCATCCAAAAATATTGATAATTTACTAATTTGTGGGCTGAAATCTATCAAATTGGTGCGTATGCCCAAATATGGTCTTGTTTTTTAATATAAAACTTTCTTTATATGTTCAAGAGACTAGTAGCTACAAATATAGCACCCAAAGCATGGTTTTGGACATCTTAAGATGATTAGGCATAATTGAGCCTGAATTTGACCAAATATGGGCTTGGCATAATTATTTCTAATTCGTTGTGTTCTGCAATTTTCTGTGTATGCGATGACGGACGTATAATTTTGTTCTTAATTTAAATTTGGGTATTACTATTAACTATTTATTGTAGTATTTTATTAGAATGATATTTGACTTCCGTATAGCTAATTTTTTCCGCTGTTCCATTTCAAATAAGCTGCTAATACCGCATGACGATGCACTTAACCAATTTTAATTGATAGTATAGTTTACTTATGTCTGACTAGATTGAGATGCTTACCATATTTGAATTGATTAAAAGTTTGTTATGTATCGCAGTGTAACACAACTATGCAAATTGTTCATTGACATTCATTTGTTATGACCTCCATTACCTAATTTTTCCTACAGATTTTAGAGTGTAATTGTCTACAGTGGTTACTAAATGAAATGGTTACTAAATTGATTACTGAAATGGCCATGGTTACTCAAAATCCGGACGTCCGGAAATTTTGGCAGAATTAACGAAAAAGTCCCATTTATTTCAACTCTATGAATTCTATTTCAACTCTTTGAATAAATTTTGTACTTGTAGGTTTACAACCTACCAGGACGCGCGCCGAGTTGGACTCGTCGAATATATGGAACAGATATTTTACGAGTATCACCCGTTAAAATAAATTATAACAATGAATTTGAGTTGGTTTCATTTGTATTCTTAAATTTAAAAGTAGCGAGCTGGAAATCCGAACGTCGAGCCGGGGGAGGGGGTGGTTTTGAAAATTTTGGCGGACGTCCTAGACCTAAGTAGATGGCCCCTCTGGTATTTGAATTCTAGAATTAAGAAAGCGGCGCCTGCTACTAATTCGAAGAATGAAGAAATTTAGACGAGTAACATCCGTCAATGTAATATGTAATATGTATATGCAAGTCGATAATAACATTATTTTACATTATCCACGATGCAGACGAGGGGATGACATTCGATACTGCAGAGTTACTCTAACTCAACAATTTACTGGGCCGCGCGGCGCTCAGCCTGTCATTCCGCGCGCCGAACATGATAGCCTGACATGAGGTCCCCAGGTAACTCAGCAATCCATGTATAGAAATTTTAATAGCTAGTGACGCCGGTTTATTTATAACTTTATAAATATAAGCGGTATAAAAGTAGCGAAATTCTTACCTGAGGACCCCAGGCTATTTTGTTCATTCGTATTACGACATGTCAGGATGGCCGAGTGGTCTAAGGCGCCAGACTCAAGAGTTAAATCTTACACTTGTACGAGTGAGCATTCTGGTCCACGAATGTGGGCGTGGGTTCAAATCCCACTTCTGACAACTTTTATTTATGGAATCTGATATTTACGTCAAAATACATCAGCAGTCACAAAACCATCAATTCCCAAGCTAAGGTAATAAAGTTTTTGCTTACTTCTCGTAATGGTAAATAAATGTTTCGCAGCTTGGCAATTGATCGGTGTTGTTAGTGTTACTGTTGTACAAACTGCATTGATAATAATGTAATATCACGTTGTACGTGTAAATAGTGTGGATATATGCGAATATATATTTACTGGGCCGCGCTCAGCCTGTCATTCCGCCTAATCTTTATTCGTTTTATCAACATTAAAGCCTGGGGTCCTCAGGTAAATATATATCTACAAATTCAATCTCGTAATGCAATGGTGTTCAAGCTAGAGAGAGCGAATGCCGATCAATTGTCTCCGGAAACTGTCCCTCCATCACACAGGTATAGCTTAGGTAGGTATAACTTTTCTTGGCTTTGGTATAAGTTAAAGTATAAAATTTCGCTGTAATGATTTGAAATACAGTCTTTAACAAATATCAAGATTCAAGAAGAAAAAAACCTCGATTAACTATATTCTTTTTATTTTTAAGAAAGTTTTTGGTATTCGATTCCAGAAATAGGAAACCTGAACATAATTGGTTTATGACTCAGCTCAGCAGCTCAATCGTGTCATTTGGCCTCTATAGCTGACGTGACTGACTAATTGGTTGCGGGTGAGAAATTCAGTAAAAACTGTAAAATTTCGGGAGGCCGACTTCCAAGCCCCCTCATTATTAGGGGGCCCAGGGAGATCAGATCATGTCACTAATTAGTGACAAAATTTCTGTCCTGGAAGTTTCATCTTCAAAACCTGAAAATGGGACAGAGAATAGGGCAATATGATTTTGAAATTTTCTTCCAGATTTTGACCAACTTCCCGTACTTCAATTTGGTTTCATACCATCATCAATTAACTGACTAATTGGTTTCTGGGCAAAAATTTCATCCATTCTGTCAAATTTGTGTTCAGAAATTTTCATATTTGAAAATGGGACAGAATTTGGAAAAAACACATTTTCGTGTTGTTAAACTTTTTGCTGTGATCTCCCTTCGACCGAAATCAAACTTCCAGCACCTTAATCGTGTCATTTGGCATCTATAGTTGACTGACTAATTGGTTGCGGGTGAGAAATTCAGTAAAAACTGTAAAATTTCTGTCCTGGAAGTTTCATCTTCAAAACCTGAAAATGGGACAGAGAACAGGGCAATATGATTTTGAAATTTTCTTTCAGATTTTGACCAACTTCCAGTACTTCAATTTGGTTTCATACCATCATCAATTAACTGACTAATTAGTTTCTGGGCAAAAATTTCATCCATTCTGTCAAATTTGTGTTCAGAAATTTTCATATTTGAAAATGGGACAGAATTTGGAAAAAACAGATTTTCGTGTTGTTAAACTTTCTGCTGTGATCTCCCTTCGACCGAAATCAAACTTCCAGCACCTCAATCGTGTCATTTGGCATCTATAGTTGACTGACTAATTGGTTGCGGGTGAAAAATTCAGTAAAAACTGTAAAATTTCTGTCCTGGAAGTTTCAACTTCAAAATCTGAAAATGGGACAGAGAATAGGGCAATATGATTTTGAAATTCTCTTCCAGATTTTGACTACCCGTACTTCAATTTGGTTTCATACTATCATCAATTAACTGACTTATTGGTTTCTGGGCAAAAATTTCATCCATTCTGTTAAATTTGTGTTCAGAAATTTTTATATTTGAAAATGGGACAGAATTTGGAAAAAACACATTTTCGTGTTGTTAAACTTTTTGCTGTGATCTCCCTTCGACCGAAATCAAACTTCCAGCACCTTAATCGTGTCATTTGGCATCTATAGTTGACTGACTAATTGGTTGCGGGTGAGAAATTCAGTCAAAACTGTAAAATTTCTGTCCTGGAAGTTTCATCTTCAAAAACTGAAAATGGGACAGAGAATGGGGCAATATGATTTTGAAATTTTCTTCCAGATTTTGACTTCCCATACTTCAATCTGGTTTCATACCATCATCAATTAACTGTCTAATTGGTTTCTGGGCAAAAATTTCATCCATTCTGTCAAATTTGTGTTCAGAAATTTTCATATTTGAAAATGGGACAGAATTTGGAAAAAACACATTTTCGTGTTGTTAAACTTTTTGCTGTGATCTCCCTTCGACCGAAATCAAACTTCCAGCACCTTAATCGTGTCATTTGGCATCTATAGTTGACTGACTAATTGGTTGCGGGTGAGAAATTCAGTCAAAACTGTAAAATTTCTGTCCTGGAAGTTTCATCTTCAAAAACTGAAAATGGGACAGAGAATGGGGCAATATGATTTTGAAATTTTCTTCCAGATTTTGACTTCCCATACTTCAATCTGGTTTCATACCATCATCAATTAACTGTCTAATTGGTTTCTGGGCAAAAATTTCATCCATTCTGTCAAATTTGTGTTCAGAAATTTTCATTTTTGAAAATGGGACAGAATTTGGAAAAACACATTTTCGTGTTGTTAAACTTTCTGCTGTGATCTCCCTTCGACCGAAATCAAACTTCCAGCAACTTAATCGTGTCATTTGGCATCTAAAGTTGACTGACTAATTGGTTGCGGGTGAGAAATTCAGTAAAAACTGTAAAATTTCTGTCCTGGAAGTTTCATCTTCAAAACCTGAAAATGGGACAGAGAATGGGGCAATATGATTTTGAAATTTTCTTCCAGATTTTGACTTCCCGTACTTCAATTTGGTTTCATACTATCATCAATTAACTACTAATTGGTTTCTGGGCAAAAATTTCATCCATTCTGTCAAATTTGTGTTCAGAAATTTTCATATTTGAAAATGGGACAGAATTTGAAAAAAACACATTTTCGTGTTGTTAAACTTTCTGCTGTGATCTCCCTTCGACCGAAATCAAACTTCCAGCACCTCAATCGTGTAATTTGGCATCTATAGTTGACTGACTAATTGGTTGCGGGTGAGAAATTCAGTAAAAACTGTAAAATTTCTGTCCTGGAAGTTTCATCTTCAAAAACTGAAAATGGGACAGAGAATGGGGCAATAGGATTTTGCAATTTTCTTCCAGATTTTGACTTCCCGTACTTCAATTTGGTTTCATACCATCATCAATTAACTGACTAATTGGTTTTTGGGCAAAAATTTCATCCATTCTGTCAAATTTGTGTTCAGAAATTTTCATATTTGAGAATGGAACAGAATTTGGAAAATACACATTTTCGTTTTGTTAAACTTTCGATTAACTGACTAATTGGTTTCTGGGCAAAAATTTCATCCGTTCTGTCAAATTTGTTTTTAGAAAATTACATATTTGAAAATGGGACAGAATTTGGAAAATATGTATATGGAAGGAATGTTACTCAGTTAGCTGATTGTTTTCTCTGTTACCAGCCTAGTTTCTTCAGAACACAAATAATTTGTTATATTCATAATTATATAAGTACATGTAGTGTTGTTAAACTGATTATTAAGTTTAAAGTTAATCTGGCATTATTGTCGAACAGGCTTCCAAAAAGGGTGGTAAAGTTAGCTTTCGTGACTAGCCAAATTAGAGTTACAATTGCATAGTTGTCATAGTTACCATCGCATAGTTGTCATAGTTACCATCGCAAAGTTGTCAAATAAAGGTCCCCGTCTATAAAAGGTCGCTGCACCCTCTGTCAAGAAGTTTAACATGAAATTGGTGTTCATGATTAATGAAGTGATATCTCTTCTGGGGAGGGAGAGATACTCTCATGGTGTACTATAATATGCAGCAGTATCATAATTAACCAAAGTCTTCAGTATTTTAAGATTGCTCAGGGCTGTGCCGTGGGGTTATACTTTGATTTTTATTATGTGTTATATGCGCTTTTGACTTATAGTTATAATATACGCTTTTATGTGCTGTATGTGCTATATGTGCTTTAAAAACGTGTGCTATATATACCTCCTTTATTAATAAAGAACGTGTGCTATCTTCTTTATTAATAGACACTTGATACTTTGAATATTTAACTTTTGTCATAAAACTATTCATACTCTAACACTTTCACGCCTCTATTGACATAATAACCACTCTATCGAACAAAGTGGCGACAAATTATTGACATCTGTTATATAGAACTTCGAGAAAATTGTTTTCAAAATTGTTTATTGTATTGCGTTCAAGCAATTTTGTATGAAGGCTCAAGCAGCTTGAATTTACGGATTTCAGCTTTCTTTACCAAACTTTGGTGCTACATCAAATTTTAATTCACCAATCGCTATTGTTTTGATTTGATTCATACTATGTAACCTTCAACTATTTCATCCGATCTGTAACAAGTCCGTGTTCTTTGTTTAACGCTCATACACGATCACCGCAAACATACGTGCTATTCACCAGTCTCGCATGCTATTCACCAGTCTCGCATGCTATTGATCTGATCATGTTCTTCTTCTTCTTGTCCATGGAATATATAATAGAACACTGTGGCTGAAATGAATTTAAAATGTTGATTATACACTGTTTTAGCGTTTATAAGGTCTTTATAATAGGTGGTTATTAATTTCCAATATTAAAAGACATCATTAACCCCCGGTTAAAGTTGTGGTCCAATTTGATCACAGAGCACTTTCAAGCGTGGAGGTAACCTTCATGGTTACCTAGTTTTCGTCAACGTTTTATGGTTAAGGGTATGCTATCAGCTACCGCTGCTCACACACAATTAGAGTTAGAGAGAAATATGGATTGACAGGCCACACCCAAGCTATGGTCGACAATATTTTACGAAACTTACGAAGTTATTTAAGGATTCATGAGTGTGTGGACAGTAAATTCTGGTCCAACCTGTATTATGAATGGTTTATACTTTTATGGACTATATAAGTATTAGGTTGAAGTATATCATACGAATTACAGATTACCTCCCAGGTCGAATGAACACTACACCACCTGTACTCAGGACAACAAGTGCTAACAATGTGTTCACTAAGGCTTCCCTACCACATTCCACAACCAACTCTCCCCGCTCCATGGTTACTGAGCTGGTTACCATGGTTACTGAGCTGGCGAACTCTACTCTAAAATCTTATCACACTGCACTTCCTACTGCACTTCTTCAAAATATCACACTTCTGGAGAGTTCACTGACCACTCTCAGTTCCAACCAAACCTCCCAAATGTTCTCCAACTCAACAACACTCTATAACAGCACAGAACCTGCCACCCCACTAGATCAACTTCAGGAAGGTCCATCTTACAACAGCCACGTCGTCATGGTTCCTCTACCTCTCTCCACCGCTATAATCTGGGACAGTCTCCTTGGTTTTATCCTCATCTTATGTCTGCTAGGTGGTGTCCCGGGGAACCTCATCGCTCTGAGGTTTACATTTTCAGTTAAAACTTATATTATCAAAATTTTAAATTTTGATAAGGAACCTAATTGCAAACCACCATGAAATGCTCCCCACTCACCATTTTCGTCCGTCATATTTCATTTTTTTGTACGCTTTAATATTTGTCTATGATTATTATAAATGATATTTAAGGCTTTAATATTGCCCAGTTTACTTTTGGTGAACTCCTCAATCAAGGGGTCGTTCACATATTATGTAATTAATCATTTTTTGGAACATTTTTACCCCCCCCCCCCCCCTCCTTAATCAGTTTTACACATAGCTATTGTATCAAAATTACACTAGCGTAATCATTCAGAAACCCCCCCCCCCCCCCCCCTCAGCTGATTACGAGATATGTGAACTCCTCAACTAATCAGGTACTTCATGAGCCGGAAGAGAGAGCTGCCCACCCTCCTCTACATCAACATCACGTGTGTGGATCTCTGGACCTGTATTGCTCAGCTTCCTGTCCTTGTCTCACTCTTCTGCAGACGTGCTCCTGTTCTTTTTAACATGCTGGCTGTTTGTTCCGGGTGGACTGTGGTGTTCAGGTGTGTTATTTCTAATTTTGTAATAATCGTGTGTAAATCCTAAATGGTTCAATACTAAAATATGCAGTGCTTATAGTGCTTAGTCTTTGGATATATGATCCATCTACAGTGTTGTATGAGGCGAAGATAATGTATACGTACGTGTTCGAATTAGCTACGGTGGTTTTAAGGCATATTTTATTTAAGAGTTGATCTATTTATGTTTCATAATTGTAATTACTTAATAAATATGTGCCTGGCATGCATGGTCATGACAACACCTAAAAACACAACTCGTAAACATTGGCTGGCTAACAGTAACATACCAAATCCCCTTCAGGTTTCTCCAGAAAGTCTCCGTATTCCTAGTTATGTTACAGAGTGTGTACAGGACTGTGCTGATTGTGTTCCCGTTTAAGAAGATACAGGGGAGCTATATTCTGGTGTCTCTAGGGGTTTACTGTGTGGTTCTGGTGATTGTGGACGCGTTCAGTGCAAAGTGGGACAGCTATAAGTTCGTTTCACTGGGTCCGTTTTGTGTGGACTCCCCCCTGGCAGCAGTGTCTGACTCTTACAAAGCGTGGGTTACCACCTTCAAAACCCTGACAACCTATACAACTAGGACTCCCAGCTATTATCTCCTTCCTTAGCTTCCTCATCTGTACAATAAAACTATCTCGACCCTGCAGCAACACATTCCAAACAACTAGAAACAAGAATGTGTCCGTAACAGTTGCCACCTTCACTGGAATATTCCTCTTCTGTAACCTCCCCTTCTTCACACTCATGCTCCTGAACACTATAACACGTGCTCTGGGTTACACGTGGCCGGAGCCCATTCTTCCGTTCCGTCTTCATGTCCAGTTACTCTTGGCTGGTTGCCAAAATAGTGCTGACCGTGGTTAATGCTGCTGTGAATCCTGTGCTGTATTATTGTAGAATGTCGAGCTTTGAATTGTGGATGAAGAGTGATAGTGATAATATCAAGGAGGAACTGCACCAGGAACTGCAACAGGAACTGCACCCGATGATGAACCAAGCACAAAACCTTTCAAATGAAAGGAAGTTTCGTCCAGAGTTGCATCCCTCAGTTGTTTCGGAAAATCCTCGACAGAACTACAGGCGACTTCGTGCGACACTAAATTAGAAACATTCAGTCATTTTTGTTCTGTAAAACAATTTGGTTGGCTGTTCACATGCCACCAAAATGCTGGCATGGTTGTTTAAATTAAAATAATAGTTGTAGAGTAAACTTCTTTTCTTAACTTTTCTTAGAACTTCAGAAAAGGTCTGCAATCCCTGATCAGTCATCACCAGAATGTGTAATTAAGTGTGTCCAATTGTATGTCATTTCAAATTTTTTAACAAACGCACGTGTAAATGGTTCAATGCTGACAATTCTTACTAAAATATGATAAAAATGCTTAGTCTCTGGAATCTACCATCTACTTCTACAGTGTTGAACGAGACGAAAATAACGTACGTATTTGAATTAAATATGTTAACTTAAACCTTACTTCGGCTGACTAACGATTACTTTATCGGATTATTTCATTACATTTAGAAGATTAGCGTGTACGTGTCTCGTGTGTCTAGCCTTGGTTTAACTATGTTAATGAAGTGAAAAACGTGAGAATAATAAGTGATTTTTAGTATCTATACTAGACAAAATTTATATAATATGAAATGTTAAATGTTGACCAGTTTACTCATAACACTCCATATATGTGACCAATATAGTGACTATTTTAATGACTATTATCATCATCATAGTGGCCTAATTTAACTTATAGAGTCACTGTAATATCTTAAGTGTCCAATAGTGATCACTGATCGGTTGAGAGGATGTCTTGTGGAATACAGTTGTTGAACGGTTTTGGTAAATTTTTTAATGTGACTTCTGTTTTATTCCCGATATTAAGTTGCACACTGAATAAGTTACTCCAGTTTCTTTAGAACACAAAGACTCGTAAGTAATCGGGTTATAAATTAGATATGATTCTGTATTATTTTCTGGTAGTCTTTGCGGATTTAAGAAGGTCAAATGAACACAACGGATTCGACAAAACTATTTAACATTATTCAACAGTGGTTATACGGTCGGATGCATGCAGCTGTGGAAATGAATAGAAAGCTTACACGATAAAATACTAAGCAGACTAGTCAGCAAAACAAAACTCTCGCAAAAATTAGATCTTTATTTATTGATTAATTCTAATCTACGACTATTGGGACTTAAAAGCGCTTTCAAAAATTCTAATTGAAAATAAACTCGATTTAACATCTCGTCTTTTGATATCTGACATATAAACTACACGTTTTGTTTTCATGATGTTATAACTTTCTAGAGTCCTGATGTTATCTTGAAAGTATTGTCGTAGAGTCTAAAGAGATCTATGCGAAGTTGCATGATCGCTCCTTGCACATGCAAGCGAAGGGTCGTTTCAGGAAGGTGAAGCTGTCGTCCCAAGTTCCGTCCTTACGGGACATGGCCACAACTTGTTGCTCTGAAAAGAAAATAATTAAATAGCAAATAAATCATAGGCGTGTAATTGGTTTGGAGAACTGTTTTCTACTTTAACTGGTCACGTGTCGAGCATGAATTACTGTCACGTGTCCTAACGTTTTTAAAATGGAATAAACTATATTTTAAATGTTTTAAGAACTACCAAATTGTTATTGAACAATTAAAGTAGCAATCTCAATTATTGTTCAACTTTTAACAATTATAGTAATAATCTATACCTAATTTTCATTTAATTGATCTGACACAATATGTGAAGTTGTAATGATCATTCTAATTTTTAATTTCTAATTACCTACACCTCTTTTTTACTTAACTGGTTTAGTATGAATTACTGTTAACAATAGTAAATACAATAATAATATTAATTATGATAATAATATTTAATTATAATAATAATCTATACCTCCTCGTTTCTTGACCCAGTTGTCGGGTTGCAGTTTAAAGTCCCACTTAGGACTGTAAGGAAGGGGGGAGTCGTCCCAGTGAGTCCAAACTCCGTTACCCTTACCTTCCGCGTCCATCTGCTCCTTCTCTCCTATCCATACCTGGACAATTTCATTGTTTTATAAAGTGCATACTGGAAAGTTGAATTTGTTAACAATTGCAAGATTATTCAAATATTCTACATTTAGATTATCTTCCGGAAGCTTTTTTAATTTATGGGCTCAGCCAGAATGGTATTAGTAGGTGGGGTGTCTACTGTTTGTGATATTATAGTGCACTCTATAATATTACAGAAGATAAATCACCATGGTAACCAGCTCAGTAACCATGGTGACACGTAGATTTGAAATTAAACTGACTGTCCCAACTCACCGCCCCATGATGACGTAGCATCTTAATAACGACTTGAAGCTGGTTGTAACTTTGTAAAGTGAATTGTCCCCAACAAAGAGGCAACATGGAACACCACCATCTTTAGTAGGTTGTTAAAGTCATTATGGCCCGCTTTATACCTTTATAGGAACAGTACCGCTCTAGCTCAATCATCCAGAAACTGTGCAATATAACATGTTATAATTACTGCTACCTTTAGGCAACTTTTTGTGAGTCTGCTGTGTAACGTTACACTTCAATCTAGGTTGTAGACCATAAGGTTTCTATGTGGCCAATAGTCCACATGAATGCCCTTACAACAAAGTGGGTTTAAGGTTCGGTGGAATTATTTTAAACTCCGCGAGTTCGAGTTAGCTCAAACAATGAAAACTTTGTAGGTTAGTCCGAAATTAAATGTTAGATTCTCTAAGTGAAATTGTCGCCATAAATACAAACTCCAGGATAGCTTTACCGATGGATGAATCAGGATTCTGACTCAGGATTCTGAGCTTGGCTTTATATATCGTTCACATATTACGTAATTACTTTTTGGACAATTTTAACCCCCCTCCGTTATCAGTTTTACACTTATAGCTATTGTGTCAAAATTGCACTAGCGTAATCATTCGGAAACCCCCCCCCCCCCCCCCCCACCCTCGGCTGCTTACGTAATATGCGAACGACCCCTTATTGGCAACGGCCGACTTTACGTTTCCTAGTTCTGTGGACTGTGACTCTTTTCAGCATTAGCAGCTCTAAAAGCATTGAAGCTAAAGTTAAACCATGAGAGGTTGCAAGGAAAGTTTATGGGTATTTCATTAAGTTGCAAGCGGCTTACACTTAAAGATAAGGAGTGTCAAAAATAGGCGACAACAAAAAACGGGTAAAACATTTAGGCTGCGATGTTGAGAACTCGAAAGGAGGCAGCGTTCCTGTCTACATCTTTGGTGGGATCTAACCTTATCGACAGTCCTAACCATGTGTGTGACATTCATGGCCGTGCAACTCTTGCCCGGATATTGAAGCCACCCTAAGTCGAAGTAAGTGATCAACCCCTTCCTATAGTCAACCTTTATAAGCCTCCCAACTCTTTATATAATCCCGTATATAATAATATAATATTCTCACAATATGATAAAATATAATATAATATAGCGAGAATTTATACAATTAACTGTTATAAGGGATTGGAACTAACGAACCCCATGTGGCAAAGTCGGTGAGGCATATAAAAATATTACCTCCTTACCTTAGGAATTAAAGTGATGATGAATAACGATCATGGTAAACATTATTACTATATTATAACTTATATAAAACTATAAAACTTCCTATGATTACTATATTATGATATAATAGAAGTAGTAATTTCTGAATAGATTTGTTTCTTGAGATGATCTAGTTGTTTGCTGCTGGATAATTTCACCACACCCTTTAGAACCACTCTCACATGGTTATTACCTGCCACTTGTGTCAGTTGCTAACCATATGGGCAGACTACAAGCACATTATTTCATTTCATATAACAAATAAATATAAGGGGTATAGTGATGATAATGATGATAAGATGATGAGTCACCATGGTAACCAGCGCAGTAACCGTGGTAATATAAAATGTTCTCACCCAGTTGTCGTTGTTCCACCGTTTCTCGTGGAGGGTGTCCCCTAGAGCTAGCTCAGCTGCAAACATCAGCTCAGCGTTATCTTCTTTGCTCTCAACCTGAATGTTAACCATGTTAACTATGTTAAATACGTTAACTTTGATCTCAATCTGGAGAGGGAAGGAACTGTTATAGTTGTGATAAAGGGTACAGGGTGTTTCAAGACTCGTGTCCAAATTAGAAATTATAATTTTTCTATTTTATGAAGGAGCAAATTAAATGAAATCGGTTTGGGAATGCTTGTTAGGTATTACATTTTAGTTATTTCTTGCAAAATTGTGTTAAAACCCATTTTTTCATAATTTTGCAATCTTTTGAAATTTTTCGAAGAAGGACCTATTTGTTAGATTTTAAGGACCTATTTGTTAGATTTTAACGGCCTTTCTAAATTCGGACACGAGTCTTGAAACACCCTGTAGAATAACTAGAGACTGCAGTCTGCAGAACATGTCGCAATATAGTGCAAATTGCGGTCACAATCCGATCAGCCGGAAATATTGATAGAGAAAATGAATGCATGTTAACCAAGTTAACCATGTTAACCATATTAACTATGTCAACTGTGTTAATTGTGTTAACTCTGTTAGTTCTTTTACCGTAGCGAAAGTAAGTCCCACACTCTCACAATGTCCCTTAGCTGCTGTCCAGCTCACATGTTTTGACAATACCACGTATTTTCCTGAGCAGATTTATTGGTTAACAGTTAACACTTTTATATAGCCTCATAAATATAAAAACATTTAGATTAATTAACATTGTAATTTCAAACAATCAGTAGTACTTAAGATGAATAAGAATTAAAATAAGCATCTTACCGCAGTATTGGCAAACAAAGGGGAGTGGCTTGGAGGCGAAGGTATCGTCCCAATATCCTTTCTTGTTCACTTGCACAACCACCTGATATTCATAGCCCTTCTTTCTGAAGGTTAAAAACTGTGGTTTAGGAAACGCTTGATCACAAATGGGTACTTGTAATTGTATGTTAATTTTCTACAATGTGAATCAAGTAAAATAATTGGCGTCATCGGCACATTTTACAGTCAGTTTGTCATACTAAACTTCAAATATAAAAAAGGTCAGAGAGTAACATGGTTGACAAGTTTTAAGCGGGTAAGAGCCAGTCCAAACCCTGACTCAATAACATATCATGAAGGCCTTGTTTTAATTTGTATTGAAAAACACTTATAATATGATAGCATTCTTAAATAAATATAATAAAGCACTACAAATATAACAGCTTCCTTACTTTGATCCCTGTTGTTGTTGGTCAGGCATGCGAGCACGGAAGTTGTTGTACCGAGCCATACCCCTATCTTCGTAGTACCACTGCTCTGGGTTAAACTCTCCCTGTTATCAGACACATTAATTGGGGGAAATAAAATATTTATTTTATTAGGAACATGTTACATTTTAATTCATAAGTGTGATTAACAACTACAAGTGTACTTAATTCTTATCAGTATATTTTCTTATCAGAAAGATTTCTTATCTGTCTATTTTCTTATCAGTATAATATCTTATCAAACCTTTTCCTGCTTGGTAAGTTTCCTGTCGTTGTCTATTCGTTTTGTGAGTCCGATGTAGGCCCAGTTTCCAAGCTTGTACGGGTTATTGTTCTGGAGGTAAATTAGGTTTATATTTAGATAGTTGGAGACTGAATCAGTTAACAAAATAAGGGGTTCAATTCCAAGTCATTACCAAGTTTTCAGTCGTTTACCGACTTTTTTATGTCTTTAGAATTACAAGTCCTTCATATTATAACTTTATAAAGCCAGGGTTTATTTATAAAGCCAGGGTGTGGACTGGCTACGACTGGTTTATATTAAAGTACTTCCATTACATAATACTCAATAAATTTAATTGATTTGTAGTGCTGTAATTAGTTTAAAACTCACATCGAACTTCATTCCGAACGCGTATCTGATAAGGGTCTTAACATCGTTGTTTTCAGCCGAGTTCTGCACTGTTGCCATGCCAATTCCTGTTATGTTAATATTGTGTTTATCATACAAATAATGATTAGAAAAACAAGCTGGCTTATTCCTTTCACGAGACTAAAAAACAACAACATTGTACGAATTTCCTTCGTACCTGTGATACAAACAAATAAGAATTAAAATGAGATCTAAAACATGCCCGATTTCTTAAGTTTCAAGTATCTTATACAAAATGTCAAACACAAGGAAATATTTTACCACTAACCAGTGTTGGTGAGAGGCCACTGTAAGTGGGAGCAGTAGTCACGTGCGTTAGTGTAGTTCTGTGGTATCTTGAACAGGAGATACCGGCATGCTGAAAATGTTCCCCGTTATTTTCTGTGACTTATTACGAGAGAGTGCAGTGCACATTTATTGCATGTTGGGCGAGTTATAGGTACAATTCCGACTGTAGCTGTTAGAGGGCTATAAGCCGGCTGTTACAGTAAGAGCCCTCTAACAGCCATCTTATAGAAAAACACAAATAAGTGCAAGCTGTCAGAGGGCTATTAGGGGGCTGTTGCCTGTAACAATATCCCTTTGCACCTATTTGCCGGCCTGTTGATATAAGTAAATAAATGAATGAAAAATCGAAAAGTTGAAAGAAAAAATTCAGAAATCTTACTCATCACGACGTTCTGGGAGGGAGCAAGCTTTTGCATCTTCCTAGCTTCAATAACCGTGGGGTCTGATTCAAATATTTCCTGGTCTGTTGGCAACTCCTGTAGATGGGAAGCTTAGTTAGAAACTACTTCTATAATTAAACAGTAACACTATTATTGTTGGAGGCTTAGTAACTGCTATTATTTTGATGTTTAAATAAAACTAGATCCTATTCATTTATTGATTTAAGTTAAAATTTTGATATTTATAAGTAAATGAAATAACAGGATTACAAATTTTCTATTTGATAATTTTAGTTTTACTAGAAACTGCTGCTTAAATTTGGCCTTGATCGGGTCCTCAAGACGATAATAATAAAATCACTTACTGGGGGTGGGTCGGGTTTCCATTTAGCGGCGGCTAGAGCCCTGAGAAACACAAAATATTACAATAAAGCATTGTGGTTGTAAAAGCACGCAATTTTAAAAGGTAATCAAATTGTAATGTTATATTCATGGATCAAAAGTTACTTGAAACATTGAACTATAATTTTGAAAATCCGAGATTTAACAGTTTATTTAATAGTTCAATAAGTTACTTTTAAAACTTACAACAGGGAAGTTACAAATACTAATTTCAGCATATTTCTGGGGGTGAAGGGAATGGTCGGTTTTATCTTCTCCTTGTTTTCTTATCAGACCCTATAATTGGATCCATAAATGGATGTATGATTAGAATTTTATGTAAGACTTTTTAGTTATCACTTACAAATTATTACTGCTTTCAACGCGGTTAACAGTTATTAAATTTAGGTTATTGCCATTGGTATTGCTAACGTGTTCAAACTAAAAAGATCGGAAAGTCACCTCCAAAACACTTCTTGTTTAAAGATTAAACTTGAACTATCAATTTAAATCCAGCGAATTTCTTAAATTGCAGCGGAAAATCTTTCGACTAATGCATTTTATAGATTTCGACTGCAGTCTGCATTGTAATTATCATCACTGAATCGGAGCAACCTTACAAACCATTAAATTTGAACAACGGATAAAATTAGTAAAAAGCAAAACTGATAATTCAGAATTGGTTTAAGTTATAAAAAGAAGTAAGTCACACCTTAAACTAGTATTAGTAAGAACTATTGACAATAGTTAAATAGCTGATATTGATGACGCACTGTCGTTCTTACTAATACTAGTTTAAGGTGTGACTTACTTCTTTTTATAACTTAAACCAATTCTTCAATAGTATTGAAGACTATTGTCAGCATCATCATATGGTGTGCGAGGAATTATAATGACTCCAAAAATAAAAGCGGTGGAGATCTATCTAGCTTTACGTAACTCTTAAGCCTAAACTAAGAAACTTCAAGTCACAAATGATATAGTCAGTTGCCCGGCGACGCCCGATTCAAATGTCTGCACTCGAAGACTGTCACTCAACATGGTGTTTTTCCTCGTAGCGACTATCACATAGGGTTGCAATAACAACTCAGCTCAGTGGACTAAATCCAGAACTGTCCACCACACCCATGACTAAATCCTTTTGAACCCTAGACAAGGATCATGTTTATAATTTACTCAAATTCCTCACCAAAAGTGTAACTATTTTACCTGCAACTTGCGTATCATTGTTTTATCAGCTACGTTTAACACTTGTTCCAGGCACGTGAGAGCACGCTATACCGACACAGCACCCTAGCAACTCCCTAGCAACTCCCCATCAACACAGCACCCTGCAGTTACTAACACTTGACTACAGCGGCCCTGGTGGAGTCAAGTCATGGATATAACCTCACGATCGCATCTACCTCCGCTTCAGGTTACACTAGTAATTAATTAGTACATTAGCAGAGAGTACGCTCATAGCAACAGGTTAGACGAACAACACCAATAACTATAAGTCTAAATCTGGTATTATACACTTTATACACTGTGACATTGTTGGCGGTAGCTCTAAGAGTAGGGAGGCAATAATCATTACTCAGCGGTAACAGATTACTTTAGGACACTTTCTCTCATAATACTTAGTGGTGAGGCACTGTACTTCAAATTGGTGTAATTTCTTTCGGTTTGGAAAAGGAGACACTGCGGCCACTTTACCCTATTTTGGTTAAGGTAACATTTTGTACAGGTACAGGTTTTGACACGGTCAAGCAAGCTACATAACTACCTTTTTGTATAATTCCGTAAGGGCTACGATCACCTTTGGAATGCAGGAATTGCATGCTTAAACTTTTTCACGTTGTAGGCCCGCCGCGCACGAGCAATTTCGCCCCGATATTTAAATGAAATGACGATGAGGGTCACGACGTGAGACAAGTGGACTAGTCGAGGTGGAGAGGTGCAGGAGACTACTTCACCCTGACAGATAATACTACTTCTAACAATAATAATAATTCAAATTGCACAAACACAGCACACGGCGAAGAGTAATTGTTTGAACAGTAGAGAGTATAAGCTGTAAAATAAGTTTTTAGTGTTGTGTTTTGTGCACTTCCCACATGAAACAACTACAAAATATTTTTCTGAAATAGAGCGTTTAGTGTATGTTAACTGTCAACTATAACACGATAATAAAGCTCAACTTTTAGTGTTGAAACTACTGTTCGACTAAACCACAAATCTTTCTTTACTCACGACGGAAATGAAATCCGCTCCAAAACAAGTAGCATGCACGTGCTATCAACGCTAATTCCGAATACCTTATCGAACGTTATTTGACCGGAAATTGAGTGAACGGAAAAAAATTTCGACGGACATTAAAATTAACGCTAGGGCCTTTAGTGTCCACAGTACAATTAATGTCCGTTCAATTAAAGTCCAATAAGGTAACTAAAAAGACTTAAGGATAAACTGCAACCTTAAATCAGAAGAGTGATCATGTCTACAAATATTGCGCTAAGAAATATCAAGTCCAATGGCTCTTACAGGTACCCAATACCCATACAGCAAGAATAGATTGACTGAGGAAAATCCCCATTTTTTATAGATATAACTGCAAATACAGTTAATATGTTATGGCCAAAGCATGGTTACCGTTATAGTGAATTTGATGCATTACGCTATTTTGGTTAGGATATAATTATAAGTAAAAAAGCGTAAAGACAACTCGATGTTATATTTTAGTATAAGGGGTCACATAGTTCACCGACAGAATATTAAAAGTAGTCAGTCTAACTGGTAATAATATGTTCTATTTCATGCAGTTAATATGTACTATTATCTAACTAGGTATTTATCGGACGTTATTTGACCGGACATTTTGTGAACGGACATTAAAATGAACACTCAAAGACATTCATTTAATATATTTAATTTAAATACCTTGTCGGTTTTTATTTGAACGGACATTAAAATGAACGCTAAGGCCTCCAGCGTCCAATTAATGTCCGTTCAAATAAAGTCCGATAAGGTATCAGTATCACCAAGTTCCATTCCAATATATTTTAGTCGTTTCTTGGGAACGTGAAGATTATAACTACAATATTATCACTATTCACTAAATGAGCTCGGGGCCGCTATAATATACAATTCAAAATTAAAATCATAACTGTATAGATTTACCGACTATTTAAGTCGGTAAAAATTAAACAATAAAACTTTTAACCCCTTTAAAAAGTAGTAAAGCTAAGAATCCCTATATTCGACAGTTTTCAAAGTAGTCCTTACCCCCGGTCTGGGATCTAACGAGACATCACCCCGTGAGGGGGTGAGCTAAGTGGGGCAGTGCATGGTCACGTGCTACATGGTCACGTGCTACCTGGATAGCTAGTAAAGCTATGATAATAACATCAGCTGCAATAATAATCAACCTGGACCTCATGGAAGCAACTTAACAGTTTCCCTGCGAGCTGTTGAGCAGACCTGGAAAAGTTAGGTCACAGTTGAAAGTTACTGAGTTAGTAGTGGGGGTGCTCAGGTGGTGTGGTGTATCCTGTGCGGCGAGGGGAGTGGTGTGAGGTCACGTGCTACACTTAGTGGGGTCACGGTGGTCGCGCGCGCACGTGGTGGAGTCACGTGGTTTGAAGTACAGGTGATGTAGGTTTAGCACTTCGTTTCTGAAAAAAGATGGAATTTTTTGTAGCTCAAATAGATAAGTTGAAAAATTAAATGATTATGAGGCAGCACGGTACTTATCTCAAGTTCACATTGCAATAGAACAATTCAAAGGTCCATTTGTATTTCAGCTCACATTCTGATAAAATCACAAAACCATGATCTGTATCTGCTCATGGAACCACGACTAAACTTGTCGTCAGGTCCACGTTTGGAATTAGGACCACCCAAACATGGCCGTTTAGTGATCATCTCATCATGAAGTTTTGGTAACAACCATTTAACATGAGGACCTCAGGTTGATCGCTTTAACTATAAAAGTATAAACTCTCTAAAACTCTCTAAAACTTAGGTTTAACTTAGGTTTAACTAGGGTTACCCTACGTTTAACACGAGGACCCCACTAGGTTGATCGCTTTTACTATAAACTCTCTAAAACTCTCTAAAACTTAGGTTTAACTTACGTTTAACTAGGGTTACCCTACGTTTAACACGAGGACCCCACTAGGTTGATCGCTTTTACTATAAACTCTCTAAAACTCTCTAAAACTTAGGTTTAACTTACGTTTAACTAGGGTTACCATACATTTAACACGAGGACCCCACTAGGTTGATCGCTTTTACTATAAACTCTCTAAAACTCCCTAAAACTTAGGTTTAACTTAGGTTTAACTAGGGTTACCCTACGTTTAACATGAGGACCCCACTAGGTTGATCGCTTTTACTATAAACTCTCTAAAACTCTCTAAAACTTAGGTTTAACTTAGGTTTAACTAGGGTTACCCTACATTTAACACGAGGACCCCACTAGGTTGATCGCTTTTACTATAAACTCTCTAAAACTCTCTAAAACTTAGGTTTAACTTACGTTTAACTAGGGTTACCCTACATTTAACACGAGGACCCCACTAGGTTGATCGCTTTTACTATAAACTCTCTAAAACTCTCTAAAACTTAGGTTTAACTTAGGTTTAACTAGGGTTACCCTACATTTAACACGAGGACCCCACTAGGTTGATCGCTTTTACTATAAACTCTCTAAAACTCTCTAAAACTTAGGTTTAACTTAGGTTTAACTAGGGTTACCCTACATTTAACATGAGGACCCCACTAGGTTGATCGCTTTTACTATAAACTTTCTAAAACTCTCTAAAACTTAGGTTTAACTTAGGTTTAACTAGGGTTACCCTACATTTAACATGAGGACCCCACTAGGTTGATCGCTTTTACTATAAACTCTCTAAAACTCTCTAAAACTTAGGTTTAACTTAGGTTTAACTAGGGTTACCCTACATTTAACACGAGGACCCCACTAGGTTGATCGCTTTCACTATAAACTCTCTAAAACTCTCTAAAACTTAGGTTTAACTTAGGTTTAACTAGGGTTACCCTACGTTTAACACGAGGACCCCACTAGGTTGATCGCTTTTACTATAAACTCTCTAAAACTCTCTAAAACTTAGGTTTAACTTACGTTTAAATAGGGTTACCCTACGTTTAACACGAGGACCCCACTAGGTTGATCGCTTTTACTATAAACTCTCTAAAACTTAGGTTTAACTTAGGTTTAACTAGGGTTACCCTACATTTAACACGAGGACCCCACTAGGTTGATCGCTTTTACTATAAACTCTCTAAAACTCTCTAAAACTTAGGTTTAACTTAGGTTTAACTAGGGTTACCCTACATTTAACATGAGGACCCCACTAGGTTGATCGCTTTTACTATAAACTCTCTAAAACTCTCTAAAACTTAGGTTTAACTTAGGTTTAACTAGGGTTACCCTACGTTTAACACGAGGACCCCACTAGGTTGATCGCTTTTACTATAAACTCTCTAAAACTCTCTAAAACTTAGGTTTAACTTAGGTTTAACTAGGGTTACCCTACATTTAACATGAGGACCCCACTAGGTTGATCGCTTTTACTATAAACTTTCTAAAACTCTCTAAAACTTAGGTTTAACTTAGGTTTAACTAGGGTTACCCTACATTTAACACGAGGACCCCACTAGGTTGATCGCTTTCACTATAAACTCTCTAAAACTCTCTAAAACTTAGGTTTAACTTAGGTTTAACTAGGGTTACCCTACATTTAACACGAGGACCCCACTAGGTTGATCGCTTTCACTATAAACTCTCTAAAACTCTCTAAAACTTAGGTTTAACTTAGGTTTAACTAGGGTTACCCTACATTTAACACGAGGACCCCACTAGGTTGATCGCTTTTACTATAAACTCTCTAAAACTCTCTAAAACTTAGGTTTAACTTAGGTTTAACTAGGGTTACCCTACATTTAACACGAGGACCCCACTAGGTTGATCGCTTTTACTATAAACTCTCTAAAACTCTCTAAAACTTAGGTTTAACTTAGGTTTAACTAGGGTTACCCTACATTTAACACGAGGACCCCACTAGGTTGATCGCTTTCACTATAAACTCTCTAAAACTCCCTAAAACTTAGGTTTAACTTAGGTTTAACTAGGGTTACCCTACATTTAACACGAGGACCCCACTAGGTTGATCGCTTTTACTATAAACTCTCTAAAACTCTCTAAAACTTAGGTTTAACTTAGGTTTAACTAGGGTTACCCTACATTTAACACGAGGACCCCACTAGGTTGATCGCTTTTAATATAAACTCTCTAAAACTCTCTAAAACTTAGGTTTAACTTAGGTTTAACTAGGGTTACCCTACGTTTAACACGAGGACCCCACTAGGTTGATCGCTTTTACTATAAACTCTCTAAAACTCTCTAAAACTTAGGTTTA